TTAGTCATTCCAAGTCTAAAAAAGGCTTGATTTCTGCATAAAATGCCCTGTTGGGCCCCACATCTGTCACTCGCACAGTACACTACAGTCTCCACCCCCCTCTGTCAATTTACATCTCTTATTATTTTTTATGCTAAATTTTCCTTTGTTTTCAGTAGAAGTGAGGTCAGTTCTTTAGGGTTTAATTCTGAAAATACTCAAGCAAATACAAGCTGCACTTAACACAAGTAACATCACTAACGTGTGAAGCTGTTTGCACTCACACAACCGATCAATTGCAGCAACTTTCTGTCCAAATCCTAGGCAGAATTTGACATGCTTTTGCAGTGATTCACATATCCCCAAGAGGAGCAAACATCTCCTCTGAAAATAAGTTGCTAAAATACCAGTCTGTTTTCCTGAGGTGTAAGGCTGGCTTGCCTTCTCTGTGCTTCATGATTTTCTTCACACATCTACTCAACCAACAGAGCAGATGTATAGAATTTGTAGACATAGTGTTATTTCTTTTCTTCTTTAGCATACAACAAAAGTGTAACTGACTTGGACAAAAGCCCAAAACCTGACAGGACTATTTTATATGCAGTCAGTAGCGTTGGTGCATGGACATTTTTCACTGCAGAAAACTATGCCAGTTAGGAAAGCAATAACATAATACCTTTCAAACAAGAGGATATGAAGGAGGAACAAAAGATCCCAAGACCTCTCTTGTGATCCAACACCATATTCTGCTCTCTCTTCTTTTTTCCTTTTTTGTTACTTATAATGAAGAGAGTAAAACATGATACAGTAACTTGAAAAAGTTAAATGGTACAGCAGTCATTTACAGATTGGCGTATAGTTCCTGAAAGGGTCTGACACAAAGGGGTTACTATCTCTGAACCCATTCATTCACTTTGTTCATCTGGAAGGAGGCATTTTACCCCTATCTTATGAATCAAGCAGAAGCACTGTAGTTTCTAGCCAATGCTTTAATTTACCAAGGCAGACATTGCAGTTGCCAACAGTGTAAACGAAGGATATAGCATATCCATTACATAGAAGCTGCAGAGCAGACACAGGAGGTAGATTTGTTAAGAGCAGCATCAAGATCAAGCAAGCGCTTTCATGCTGAATTTTCTGTTCTTATGTTTAGTGAAATTTATCTTGTAGGGACCTTTCATCCAGTTTTCCTCTGTGTTTCAGTTGGTATTATCACTTACACAGGAGCTATAGTACAGCTGGTCTGTTGCCCTCCCCTGCCTGGGCTGGCTACAAAATGATACCACTCTCACCGCAGATATATCTATTGGTAGCAGTGGTGAAAGATGACACAGGGTCAAGGCAAAGAAGAATCATTCTCCCCATGTATGATCTTATTTGAGAGAGAGATATTTCTGGTAGTCTCCAGGAAATCCATTTCAGCTGTTGTCTGAATTACCAAGGCATGAAAACACGCTTTTCACACCTTATGAAAATTCTTCAGTTGTTTCACATAACTTTGAAGGCAATCCAAAGGCAGCTTTACAGCTGTCACATATGTAATACTGAATGAGTCCACTTGACGATACTCAGAATTCAAATTAAGGTGGGGATATTAAAAAAAATAAATAAATAGAATTTTGCTAGAAGTACACTCTTTTTCTCTCCCATTTGGAAGCCCCAAGGGCATTTTTTCTGTTTGTAAATAAAGCACTGTTCACATCATTGTTCATCCAGAAGCCACTGGACAGCCCTGATGCAGAATGACCACAGATGAACAAGGAACTATGAAGTCCCATTAAGGTTTTGCTTACTATAAACCACTTTTCAGAAAGTGTCAGTCTTTCAGAGAGAGTAATTACTTTGTGTAAGAGCACAGACTAACTGAGGAAAATCTCTAAGAAAAGTAATAAAGGCATTCCAGAAAGCTATATCTCAAAACTGCAGAGCAGTCACTAGTAACTCAGTGTGCGTACTGAAGATTTTTAGATAAAATCATTTACTGGATATTATAGTTGTTTGTAATGTTTATTTAGATACTAATTTTACATATCCTCTGCAGAAGTCAGGAATCTTTATTTTGACACAACAGAGCCTAGTATCATTTTCCCAAAGCAAGCATCTGCTTCAATTTTTCGTCTGTGATCTCATTTATTAGACCTTAAAACGAATAGCTTAAAGTACCCACAGATGCTCATACACATCCAGGATCAATACTTTACAGAAGTCAAGGATAAGAGAGCTGAACTGAGCTAGTCCAGTCTCACCTACTTTTGATAACTAAACAGAACTTTCCCAGTCACTGAGCAGGGAGAAGAAAAGCTTCCACAGAAGCAGATGCTTCTAAAAAAATAATGTAATTCTTGTAGGTGAGCTATGACTAACAAACATACAAAGAAATTTAACATCAATCCTTTCACTGCTGTGCTTCTCTTTGGAGCCAGACTATTTAAAAATATTAATATTAAATTATTTAATAATTAAAACAGTCAATATTTTAGATATAAAATAATAAATCATGTGATTCAACTTTGAAGCTTTTACCATCTGTCTCTTAAAACGTGCAAAAAGTTTTCTAGTTGTTATGATTAAGACACTGCTTTCAGTTCAAGGTCTTCTTTTCAGAGGACAATGAATTTCCCAAAATACTGACCTCATCAACCAAAACTATTATTCTTTTTCAGTATAGAGAGAAACCATCAGCATCTATGCTATGTCCTGTTAAGACATTGAACAAACACTGCTAACTTTTATGGTACAATTACTAAGATGCAAGACTGCTATGTTTTGATTTACTGTTTAAAAAAAAAAAATCTAAATACTTTCTGCAAATTCAAATCTAGTAGTCACTATGTACACAATCCTAGCATGGCCCTTCCAGATGTATTGCAGTAACAGAAACTGAGATGCTACAAGATCTTTATTTATATTTTCTTGGAGGGGGGTGGGGTGGTGATTGCTTTGTATTATATTACATTTTTAAATATAGTCATATATTGTTCTTTCCAGTGCAGTACAATCAAAGAAACAGAATCTCAAGTTCATCTCAATCATATTCAGGAATAGATTGCACCTAAACCTTGAACACCTTGAACATTGCACCTAAAGAATTAAGCTCTGCATCTGCCCCTAAGCAACCAAAGTCTATATGCAAAGCTGATCAAACTATTTATACACCCCTGTCTTCACAGACTGTTTCATACTTATATTGCAAGCTGGCACAGGCACCTGCACTTCTGTGCAATTTCATACATCACTACTGGAGCTTGAATCTTAATAAGATCTTGTAGATAAAACTTTAAATGTTTAATAGCAAGGTCACCGTAACATCAAGGGGGGTTGCATGTTGGTTGCTAAGCCTCACTCCTTTCCAGGCTCTTACAAGAGAGGAATCAACTCCCACAGAATTTCTTTCTGGTTATAAGCCTAACCCACATTTTGTCATCATCCCCTACAGCAAAACATCCAAAGCATTCTATCAGTGAAACAGAACACACTTACTCAATCCTCTTTAAGGGTCCCACACTCAGCTTCTTGTATGTTACCTTGTACATGGAAGCTGGTAACTGACAGCAAAGCAGACTCAGTCTTTCCCCCTCGGGTCGGGACAATGTCCCCCAGGAGCCGTGGGTGACAGCAGTGTCTGCACATTCCCGCCGGGACACTGTTTTGGGTCACGGGTGCAGGCAGTGAACGGGAACCATCCTCACCCACACACAGCTAACAGGTGTCCCAGCTCGGACTGCCACCACAGAATTCATCTCCTTCATCACCTTCCCTGTGACTTGCCTTTCAGTGCAAAGGGTGGGAACTGATGACTTTCAACACTGATTATACAAACAGACGTCAAATAAACAGGAGTTTGTGCTGGATGTACAGATAGAGAAACTGAAAACACTGCTATCAGGAAGCAGTTCAACGATTCTATCACCGCAGCACGCACGAGAACAGGTATCACTGTTAGCAAAATTTCAGCAATATTTCACTGTCTGAATCAGCAGAAGCACTTGCAAACTTTAGCCCATAAATCCAGACTGTCCCAAGACCGATCTGTGTTGGACCCATCAACCTTTATCTTGTATCTCAGTGCCTTCTCTCCCAATCCAGATTTATTTTGCTGCCTTTCAGAAACCTCACCTAGTAACAGCATGATAAAATAAACTTTCAGCAACAAACACACAAACAGAAGAGCGTGTTGGCTTCACTGTGCCCTTCCTAGAACTAGAACTGTCTATTCCTAGAACTCTGGAACTTTTTGAAGGTGGCAAACACACCTTCCCTCCTCCTGCCTGGGCCGGCAGAGGGGGGCTCTGGCAGCCCACACGGCTGCTCTGCCTTGGCCAAACCCAACTGCACCCCAAGAGTCACAACAAAACCCCCTCTGGCTCCCCTTCCATCAAACACCCCCCCCACGCTCCACACCGGCACAAACAGGCTGATACAGAAGAGACATTAGTCACGCTTTTACCCACGTTAATTAGTATTAAATAATAAACCTTTAACGCCTCTAACACCTCTCCAGCACTCCCCCTGCCACAGATACAGAAGCATTTAACACACGGTACCTTTGACTGGTGCTCAGCCTCCCCCCCCTCCTTTTCCCAGCTGACCTATTCCAGCACATCAATTTCAAGGGCAAAAAAACTAGGAAAAAAAAAAGTTCTTCCCATCCACAACCGCCTGAAAACAGCCTGTTTTCCTTCACCGGAGGAGCGGCACCACACAAACACCCTACCCAACACGCAGCCACGCTTGGAGCAACCGCGGCCCGGAGGGCTCGGCTACCCCCGCCACCCCCGGGGCCGGCCGGAGGCTGACCGGGGCTGGGCCCTGCACGGCGGGGCTCCGGAGCGGCGGTGACCGGCCGCTGCCGCCAAGTTTCCCCGCCGAGTTCTCTCGGCCCCACCGCGGTGCCGTCGGGCCGCCTCGCCCCCCGGCCCCGGCCTCGCCTCTCCCGGAGCCGCCTCACCTCCCCAGCCCGGGGCTGCAAGGCGGGACGGAGATACCGGGCACCCCCCCCCTCCCAACCCCTCCTCGCCCACCTGCTCGGCGGCCGGTGCCGGTGTGGGTGCCGTGGGTGCCGGGGCGGCGCGGCGCTCTCCTCCCCGGGCAGAGGGCGCCAGGTAGGGCGGGCGGGCGGCCGCCTCCCCTCAGGGGAGGTGGGAGTTGGCTGGGAGGCGGGGGGAAGGAGCGGGGCGGGGGATCTTAAGATCCTGAGGGGAAAAAGCCGGTCCTGGTCTTCGGGGAGGGAAACATTTTATAATTTTTTTTTTTGTTTTTATTTTTTAAAAGTAGTAATTTAACACACGCCGCCCCGAGCGGGGGAGAGGGGCTGGAGGCGGAGCGCAGGTGAGGGCCGGGCCGGTTCTGGCGCCCACAGCGCTGGGTGCCGCCGCCACCGCCGGGCCCGGAGCCGGCCTCCGCGGGGCTGTGCCTCAGGGAGGAGGGCGGCCATCCACCCGCGGGCCCGGCTCTCCCTCCCCACCCGCGGGCCCGGTTTTCCCTCTTCAGCCGTCCCCGGTTTTCCCTCCCCACCTTTGAAGGGTGTGAGGGTGATGTCCGGCTGCCCCCCGGCGCAGCTCCCCACCCAGCAGAACTTGGTTATTTTTCCAAAGCCCACCTGGGGCCAAAAAATGCCGTCCCATGGCACGGAGAGAAGATGCCACTGCCCTGTCCCCCAGCCAAAAGGTGGCCACTGCTTCTGCCCAGCAGCCTCCTGAGGGCCTGCCACTTGGAGCCGGAGGGGTGCCCTCGTTTAGAATCATAGAATCACAGAATCACATGGGGTTGGAAGGAACCTCTGGAGATCATCTAGTCCAACCCTCCCACCAGAGCAGGTCTACCCAGAGCAGGTCCCACAGGAACATGTCCAGGTGGGTTTGGAATGTCTCCAGAGAAGGAGACCCCACCACCTCCCTGGGCAGCCTCTGCCAGGGCTCTACCACTCTCACAGCAAAGAAGTTCCTCCTCATGTTTAGGTGGAACTTCTTATTGTCAAGTTTGTGCTCATTTCCTCTTGTCCTGTCACTGGGCACCACCGAAAAAAGACCAACCCTATCCTCTTGACACCCTCCCTTTAAGTATTTGTATGCATTAATTAGATCTCTCCTCAGCCTTCTCTTCTCCAGCCTCCCTCAGCCTCTCCTCGTAGGAGAGATGCTCCAGGCCCTCATCATCTTTGTGGCCCTTTGCTGTAAAGAGACATGAACCATGAGCATTGTTTGTATTTTCTGTGATATTTGCATGAAGTAGCCAAAACAGCCATGTCTCGTTCCCATCCATTGAATCACTTGCTTCTCCTCCGTACTGCTTTATGTTTGCATGGGATCACTCCCCAGTTTAATCCCTCTCTTTTCTTCTGCTCCAGATCGTGCACTAGAAGCAGCTGCAATAAAAGCCCATAAAACTTGTTTTCTGCTGGATTTTTTTTTTTTTCAAGGCAGTTTGCAGTTGGAAACATCACCGCCTCTCCCTGCTTTCTGTCAGGGTGAGGGAGTTGCTGCTGAGCGGAGGAACGAGGCACCCCCAATTCATCCTCCAGCCAACGCCGCAGGAATGAGGACGCCACTGGATAACTTACCCTGTGGGTTCCTCTCTGCCTGCTGGTGGGCTTCAGATAGTGCTTTCAGGTGGCTGAGAGGCGGGCCCATCTTCTCTGGATTTCTTTTGGCACACCTGTTTTGTTGTAGAAACATCAAATCAGGGTTTTCGTTGCCCTGCTTGATTGTAAAATGGTCCAGGAAATCAGCGTCCCTTGGATCCGGACGATGGCAGTATCAGCCTCTGAGACTGGTGGAAAGTCACCAGGTGTGGCACCTCTGCTTGTCAGGGCAGGGGCATGAAAATCCGTGCTCTGTCCTGTTTGTCTCAGGGTGTGAGTTTGATTTATTATTCTGAAAATATCCTCCTGATTGCTTGTCAGACTGAATAACTGTCAGTCCTAAGCGTCTGCCCCAGTTGCTTCCACGGCAGTCAGAGAGCTGTAAACTCATTTCCAGCTGGTCACTAGTTTAACTCCAAAGCACAAAATAAAGCCAAGAGTGCTATAGGTAGTGCCCAAGAAAAATAAAAATGTAAGCATTTACTTTAAAAAATATGTACAATGCCACACTTGCAAATAGCTTTCGTTATTCATGCAAAGTAATCTCAGCTGAGATTTGATTTCAGCTTGCTAATGCTGAAATGGACCTTGTCCACCCTTTGGTTTAGATCAAAAAGGAACTTCAGAGAAACTAGCTGCAATAATGCAGGAAAAAACTGGTTTCGTCCTGTCCCTGTGACTTTTCTTTCACTTCCCAATAATGACAGCAGAATTTGTACAGTGCAACAGTGACCATTCACCTGTGCAGCCGGACTGACCTGGCAAGAAGTTTATGCACTGGTGTAACCTGAAACAATCAACTTTACCCACAGTACATAGTTCACACACATTTAGAGGTACATAAGACTTGCCTCTTGGCTAGTGGTAGCTGTTTACAGAAACCTGTTACGCGTTAGATTTTATTAAAAGAGCCCTACAGGTCTGCATGCCTAGGAATTACAGAAGTCTCCTATTTCTGTTTTGTCTTTGAGAGGCATAGGTGAAAAGGAAAGTGCTCCCTTTCCAGTGCTGAACTGGGTCAAAGGCACTTCTGGAGCACTCGGTGTTAGAGGCCAAAGACTTCTGTACAAACTGCAAGGAGCTTTGTGAAGGTTCGTGCACTGAAACCCCATTTTTTCTGGTGCCCCACAAGAAATCCTCCTCACAGCTGCATCCAAGATGACAGAAAGGGCAATGCAGCAGGGGTAAAACTGACCCCAATTATTATATAGGGTGTGCCTTTCCTGGATTTTATTATCTACAAATTTAAAATTATTTGAAATGTTTCAAATACGGAAAACTTGGAGCTAACCTGACACCTTTTACAAAACATAGCCATGAATTTTCCATACATTCCATCTGCATAACTATTAAATTATATTTTATACTGAAATTATATGTTTACAAATACATTTTAACCTGGATCAAATAACATATCCATTTCTCCAGAAAAGGAGAACCTCCGCATCTGTCCTAGACTGAGGCTCCTGGTGTGACACTCTCTGTGGTTCCTTGGTACCATATTGCAAGTAACCACAAGGCTTATTTTGGGCTCGTCTCAGGTTGGGAACATGTCTTTCAGGTCGCTCTGGGAAGTACTTTCTGAATGGCTGTGCTGAGAACAGAACAGAACAACCCCAATCTTTTGTCTTTTTATTCCAGCACAGACACCTGCTATACCTGGTATTCTCCGTTTCCTTCCCTTGCACAGCTGAACCCCAGCTCACACCTTCAGCCTTGACAACCTAAATGAGAAATTTTGCACCCTTCCATTTCTGGTCCTAGCTCTTCTGTAGAAAGCCTATAATTTCTAAGAGATTACAAATGTGTAGTCTAACAAGAGTAAAAATGCATGGCAGGATAAATCTAACCTAAACCAGGAGGAAGCAGAATCTCTGTCCCCTATCCCAAGAAGCCATGACCATTAAAGACAGAAGAGATGTGAATGGCCTGTGGTGACCTGACATAGAGTCTGGTGGCTGAGTGATGTCTTGCAGCGAGAGAAATTTCATTTTGATACAGCTGTTTTTACTACAAACAAGACAAAATAAAATTAAAACAAATTTAAACCCCATGTATTACTTAATAGGAGATTCTTCCCATTCATAACTTGTTCAATAACAGGTGATAATTATTCTTGGCACATATATCATTGACCATTTCTTCTTTAAAAATATCTTTCTACACTAAGAGTGTGTTTATGACACTGTCATCTTCAAGATTTCTCAAATTCCCACACAAGAAAATTAAAAATACCTAAAATAAATGAAATCATTTAAGAGGAGGTAAAGAGTGTCCCAATCAGAGAAAGAAGAACCAGATCTTCTATTTCACCTGTTGTTACTGATTTTGAGTAGAACAATCTGGGATGCTTCACTCGCACATGTCAACAGAAGTACTTGCCAACAAAACTACTTCCGCTTATCATAAGTACTTATACTTTTTCCCCTCCAGACAGTATAAGAGAAAGCTGAAAGTCTTCAATCCCTTACAGCATTTGTACCTTTGTATTTGAGTAAGGTGCACATGTAAAGCTTTCCAGTCACCATTGAACATAAGCAAAAAATATTTAACTTTAAAGTAAAAAAAATAAACTTTAGTGAAGGCTAAATACATCTGTCAGAAAATATGAATTGGTTTGTATTTGTCATTATTTATGCATGCATTTTTAAGACATAACAAAAATGCCCTTAGGTCAAAAAGTATTTGTGCATAATGTAAAAAATAGTTTTTGCGTAAAAATACAGGAAACTTAAAAGCTTAAGAGCAGAAATAAAAAAAAGTTTCATGCTTTTAGCATGCTGTTTGATTACACTCCTGAACAGTTTTCACCACTTGAAAATTCAGTTACACTAATAGTCTCAGCCATAGAGTTTGATGACTTCTTTAGCTCTGAATTTCACAATTAACAGAGACATTCCCATGTATGAACAGAGATATTCCCATATATTTGCCTCCAAATATTGATCTTTTCTGTGTTACCTGTACAAATTCTGTCCTTTCTGTAGAGAGTTAATAATAACGCAAAACTTTAATTTTGGTCTAATACATTTTAGTAAGACTAAAAGCGACTGAGTTGCTTGTTCTAGAACAATGGAGTGATGTTTACAAATGCAGTTTAGACTGCAATACTGAGGAAAGCTGTAGACAGATAATTAGTAGAAATTATTTTCCTAGAGGGGAATATTAGTGTTTACTTTTTTTTTCTGTGTTTTTAATCCAAGTCCTAAACCCTTACTCCTGATCTTATTGAGCAAGCTGTTTGCTGAGTTATTAGAAATGATGTCTAACTGCATTCAGGCCCATAGTAAATAATTAGTACCTAATGTCAGTTCCGTCCACTAATTGTATTTCTTCTGCTTATTTCTGTTTGTGCCGTGGGATGTCTTAAAAAGTATCTCTTAGTAAAAAAGCTTTGGATTTTCTTCAGTGCTTGGTTCTGCCATTCATTTTCTGCATGACCTCTGTGAAAGTACTTAATCGTTCTTAATAGCACGAGTAGAACAAGAATGCATTCATTAATATTTGTGAGGCTGCCAGATACTATGCTGTTGCAAGCATTTACAGTAC